CACCCTGGGTGCAACTACTGAAGGGAAGATGGTTCTGATTTTTTATTCAGAACAAGGAAAATGTACAATATATTTTACATTAAAATAATTAGTAAATATGTTAACTTGACAATGACAATGACAATTTGTGTGTGAAAATATCCCGGTGGTACATTCACTGTCTCCTTACTTCTAGAACAGAAAGAGTCAATTTATTACTTTTGGTCAGGAATCAAAGTGAAAGAATATATTCATATGTGAGTATATTGAGGCTAATTTGAAAATCTATAATAGAGTTGTAAGCGTGTAACTCTGGGTAATCGGTTGGCTTCTTCACTACTGTCGAGGATGTTGATGGCTAGACGATTTGGGTGGGTTTTCAGACGTTGAAGATAGCTTGAGCTGTTTGTTTCAATTCTTTCAAAGACTTTCAGTACTTTTAAGTCTCTTTGAAGGGTTGAGTTTGAGATATATACCACAGTGCTGCATCAAACATCCTAAGAGTTTTTGAATGAAATTGCTGTAAAATGGAGAGATTTGCCTGCTTGCCTTGCCCCAGATTTGGATGCAGTACGTCCAAATAGGAATTATTATTGTTTTGTAAATCAATAATTGATTATCTAAGAATAGCTTCGAATGGGATCCTAGTAGCCAATAAAGTCTTTTGGAGTTGAACATGCGTATTCTTGGCTAGTATGTGGGATTTCCAGGTAATTCTGATGTCCAGACGTATTCCTAAATACTTCACAATTTCGACCTGCAAAATTGTTAATATTTACTATGGAACATTTTTGTCTTCTCAAAGTGAAAATAATATGAGCTGACTTGTTTTCGTTAATTTTAATTTTCTACTAGTCTGCCCATTCTTCGATCAACACTAGATGCTCTTGTAGTTTTCTTAACGCTTGAATTAGGACATCATCCGTGTCTAATATGGCAATATCATCTGCAAATGTAGTTTTTTTCACTTTTCGGTATATCTGACGTGTAGAGCTGGTATACGACTGGGCCGAGCACTCCACCTTCGGCTACTCTGGATAGGATTAGAAAGAATTTGGGTATTTCGTTTTGATAATTTATTCGGAATGTTTGGTGAGAGAGGTAAGATCTGAAGATATTGAGGCATGGATACGTTACGGAGCGTTTGATTTTGTTCAGAAGGCCACACTTTATCGAAAGCTTGAATGATGTCTAAAACCGCTGCTGAGCAGTATGGTTTTTCTTGAAATGTTTTCTCTATGAGCTTGGTAATTCTATTGATATGTTCAATAGTAGAATTTTGTTGTCTGAAGTCAAATTGGTGATCTGGGATTAGGCCATTTGTTGTCAAGCAAGGTCTGCTTAGGAGACTTTTATGAACACTTTGGACAGAATTAGAAGACTACTTATGGGTTGAAACGATGATGGTTCGTGGGTGATGATTACCTGGCTCTAAAAAGACTTGGATCTCTGCTATTTTCCATTGCGCTGGATAAGGTCCGTACATACTGTTGAAGAAACCAATGATAAATGTTGTTTCTTTGCGAGAGAGTTTTTTAGTAGTGACCCGGTGATAAGTCTTAACCGGGAGCCCTCTTGCTAGGCAATTCCTTTTTTAAATTTTTAATACTTCTTTGTATGTAAAATATCATAATGAGGTTGGAGTTGTTCTGCTTGATTTGATTATACAATAGCTGCATCCGTTCTTCTATTTACTTGGGAGCTTCTGTTGTTGATTAATTCTGGAATTGTTATGGGCTTCCGGCTGTATCACCATTTCATTTTGGAAGATTCTTCTCTCTTTATTTAAATTGTTGTGTCCTTTTCTTTTAAGTATTTCTTGGTAAACTCGTTGTGTCCCATTTCGACCAGTGCTTCTTTAATATCTTTCACATCAGCAGTATGTGACGCAAAACCCTCAATATGCTCGTTCGTGTTTTAATTGGTTCACGTTTTCTATCTATAGAGATGTTTTACTATCTTTCTGTGTGCATTCGGGGTTTTTGATAATATTTTTTATGATATGATTATAAATTAAGATAATATGTTTTTGATAATATTTAATTTTAATATTAATCATTGATTTTATTTCAAAGTTTTCTGTTTTTACAAGTTCTTGCAAACATTTTATCGTACCTGGTACATTGTGTACGTTGGGGACAAAGATAGGCGAACTACGATTTTCTTGGAACTTTCTTCATTGTTGTCTGGTAAATATTCAACACTTAGTTCACTTAATGTATTCCCGATAGGAATTGTAATGACATAATCACTATTAATATCGCTCGACGCTGTCTTTTGCCTGGCCCTTCTAACTTCAGGGTTGAGACCCTGTGCGTTCCACCTCTTCGATCGAGCTGGGTTGTATGCTTACCATAGCAGTTGTGATCCTTGAGACTTCACTCATGTTATAGTAGCCACCGTTTAATAATTCTGATGATTCCATTGTGTTGGTTTTGTAATAGTCCACGTAATATCTACAGCACAATTATTACATGTTGCCGTGACTTCATATTATTTTAGATACTGTTTATGTTTTAAATATTAATAATGAATAGTTCCAGCTCTATAATCTATTAAGCTTAATATTCACGAACTTTCTACACAATCACTGTGGCACTCGTTATCACGAAGAACGATAAGGTTAGCACAGCTGCGGACACGTCCGTACAGCGCTTCTGCTAAACGAACATCATTTTTTGAAACATGGAAAAACATGAACATGAAAATTTTAATGTGAAACTATGTACTTTACGTGGTTTGTTTGAAACAACATATCTTTAACCACGACATCTGTATAAACCATGCAATTACTTGTGTTCTTGACTAGACGAGCGAATTTCTTGCAAACTATTCCATTTAAGTGTGTGTCATTGATTTGGAGAACGTAGGTGCAAAATTAGATAAATGTAGTATTCGTATTGTAAACAACTTTCTTCTCCAATGCTTTTGTTTAACAATGCACACATACACACACACAACGACCTAGAAAACAAGGATGACAGAAACACGTGTTAAATTCGTGAGCATGAGGACGACGGTAAAGTTGACAACCGCACATTTGCAAGAGACCCTATTTCAAACATCACCCTCTCTCATAGCCTATGTCCCCAGCGTCGCACGCAATATCACTTTCCCCTCATCCTCATCCCCATTCTCTCCGCTTCTGCCGCCCCAAAATCATACCTTGAATACAAAATATAGCAAAATCTCACAAAAAGCCCGTTTATCACATTTTATTACATACAAACAACAAATTAGGCGGACCAGCAATTTTCTTAAGAAATGTTCAATGAAATGTTCTTACTTAAAGAGCCAGAGGTCAGGCAATAAGTCATAAATATTTTAAATCTTGCAGTTAAGCAAGAAAAGCATCCAAACCATTTAATTTCCAGCACAATTTACACGAGTGATACAATTTCGTGAATACACATATGTAATGCTAAATAATAGAGTTTCTACTAATAATAGAGTAATAACTATTCCATCTACCGACTCGTACTACTTGAATATATTTGTTGTTATAGTACGAGACCAAGTCCCAGGAAACAGTAGCATCAATACGAGCCGCTCTTACTTGGCATTAAGACGACTTAAGCGAATTTAACCGATGAGTTTCTGAATTAAATATACATTTTTTAGAACATATTGGCATCTGAAATTCTCTATATGCATTTTCCTTTACATAAATATACAGGCAAAAAACTTCTCTCCGCGTTTCGACATGTCGCCTGTGACCATTCCTTTGTGAGTTAGGCTCGCCCGCGTGTCGCAGGTGGCCGTGCAGGCTGGCGCCGCCCCCGCTGCGGTCGCATGGATGCTCGGCCCATTTGCGATTCGGAGCGCGCGCGCCGCTGGTTTGCTTTCGCTTCGTCGCCCACCCCCACCCCCACCCGTGCCTCCGCCGCACCACTCCAGCGCAACCCACTCGGCTGCTGCTACGCCTCGATCGGGAGAGATGGCTCAGAACAGCAACCGATGTAACTGCACTGCCTCTCATCGGGGAGTCCGAGATTCGAGTCCCGGCAGTGACACGATTTTCTACACTAGCTTGCCAGCTAGATAGAATTCAGTCGGCATCACAAGGAGAAACACATTTTAAATATCTAATTAATACCTTCTTCAAGACTGAAAGACTGGCGAGACCTTGGAAAAGGTATTTGATACCATTAATCGATGGTTCTAGAATACAGAACAAGACGTTCGTGAAACGGGTAACAGTTTGTCGATTGACAAGCCATTCAGAACTTGCGAATAATGTATTTGATTTTTGTTGGAATTTTGGGCTTTATCTAAAATTACCTCAAAAGTGATATGAATGGACAACGACATTGGGTAAGTGGAAAGTAGGGAGAGCTGTATTATTATAGAAATACCGTGAGCATACGTGGAAATACGTGAGTATACAAGAAAGTATGCCTTACCTCCCGTCTCGACGTAGCACGCCGGCTTCAGTTCCCTGCCTCAGTAGCCTATGCATTAAAATGCAGCGCCGCACATAACCCACACGACTTCCTACCGACGCACCCAAGAATCAGAAGAAGGAGTTTAGGTCCGGGGTCCGTTTATATTACATTCTGGGCCGGCTGACGGAACTGCGTCATCTCGCTGTTTCCGCCGATGCGTTTCCACAGCTAGCTTGTCTACGGGGTTCACAAGTGGCAACCACGACAGAGCACCCCTTCCCTTCCGCTCCCTAGGTTTGCCATTGTTCAGTCCGGCGTCTCTTCCCGCCAGCGCTGTCCATGAGCATGAAATGCACGTGGTTGATATTTTGTCACGTTTGTACAAGGCGACTGATATGACTCCACACATAAATAGCACGTGCCCTTTCAGAGACACACGTTGTAGAAAATTATGCATGACGCACGTTGTAAATTGATTTTTCGCATGCTGTTTTCAGAATCGCACAATAAATTAAAATGTACATTTTCCGACACCAATCTGAGTATTGCATCCCTGCGGAATCACCATAATAAAATAACAAAATTTTGTGAATATCCTCCTTAAATCGTAAAATATCATGTTTTCTTATCTTTCAGATGATTGTAAGATTTATAGGATTCTTGGATGTATCTTACCATTGTTTATTGCCTAACTCTTTCATTTATGAAATTTATCTTGTCTACACATATGTTATTTATATTGCACATTGACAATTATTACCAAAAACACCGAAGATAATCTTATTTTAAAGACCCTATTCGCATCTGTGTGTCACTGTTAATTTTGCTGACTACACTTTGAGTATACAGCGGGATTTAAGACAAACAAACAAACCGTCGATAGCAGAACTTTCAGATATCCAGCACTTGTCGCCAAATACACTTCATCAAAGCTTCAATACACCACAGAATCACATCACATTCCCAAAGAGTTTTCAGTTGACATCCGCAGAGTTGTCGCTTCCCTTACCTCCTGTGGCCG